ATGAGAAATAAAATGAACTTTTTTGATTTTAGCAAATGGCTGCAATGAAACAAAGAGTGAAAAATTTAAAGGGGTCTGAATACTTTCCGTACCCACTGTATATATAGCGTAGCCATGCCATGCCCCGCGAGAGGAACACATGCAGATCTGCAGAAGAAGTGCTTGATCGCCTTGCTCATGCGTCTCTTGCACAGAACTTAGCCAAATATGAATTTGGAAAAACCACCATCACCCACTTAGAAGACAGGTGGGTGGAGGCCAAGTGCCCGCCATAGCAGAGTTTCCCATTCCTTCCACTTGGAGAGCCGTTCGCAGGTTCTTAGGCATGGCAGGTTACTACAGGAGTTCCACTGTTGTCCATCTTCTGACCAGTTTGCTCAGTCCTAATGTAGATTTTGTGTAGACTCCTCCGTGCCAACATGCCTTTGAAATTGTTAAGTCTCTCCTTAGCCATGGCCCTGTGCTAATACTTTTGTACTTTTGCTTAACTAAAACTTACTTCTTACAGAGTATATTTACATTCTAGTATTGCTATTTTCACTTTCACCACTGTTGTTTGTTTAATATTTTACATAGTACCCCATAGTATTTTGCATATTATTTATGAGTGTCAGTATGGATGTGTTTGGAAGCTGCTGACAGCAGGACTGGCTTTTAATTGAGTAGTTTTACCTTGTGGTACTAGTGATTTCACTTAAGTAAAGGATGTGAATGTGGTGACATTTTAACATCCAGGCAGTATGTGGGTGTGGCAGCTGGGGTCTGACCTGACTATCCTGTAGCATCTCCTCGCAGCCCTCGAGAGCCAAACACACAGTGTCGCTACACTGAGGACACACCCAGACCAGGTCGCGCATTGTCTGCACCACCGCTAAGGAGTGTGGGTGGGGGGAGAGGGAGAAACTTTAGTTGTTTGAGGAGAAAGATTACATGTAAAAGCAGGTTCTGGTGACTGTGACGATTCAAATGAAATGGCTCTTCTGTGTCACTTTAACAGCTGCATACTGACAGACTACTATGTATGCAATGTGTATGTTTTACCAGAAGTGATGTGCTCCTGTTTGAGCGCGAGCAGTCCAGTAAGGATCTCTAGACATCTGTCACTGTAGCTCCGCCCAATTCGACCTGCCAGTCCGCACAGGATAACAGAGGATATGAGTGAGAGTATGATTGTAATATATTCATATATTGCCTTTAAACCCTTATGTTTTTAGAATCCTAAAAAAAAAATACATTCAAAATACCAGACAATATGTCAAAACGGATGGTGCTGAATGTTTTCCTTCTTCTATTTACTGTTCAACAAGTGTGATGAGGATAATGATGACATTTGCACTAACAGCGAAGTTTGAAAGGAAATAAATGGAGAAGCACTATCTGCAGTAGTTAATATTTGGGAATAACGTGTACAATCAAGACAATAGGATACAGATATTCTTGAGTATAGGCTGTGTTACTGTGAGCAGCTCAGCTGTTTGTTTTGTAATACAGGCACATACGTGTGTACATGGTTGTGCATTATACGTCCACATAATACTGCAATTGTGTGTGTGTTTACCTATAGCTGATATTGCAGCCTGGGCGGTGTCAGTGTTGACATCAGTGCAGTATCCTTTCAGCTCATCCAGTAACATTGTGACATTCTCATCATTCACCAGCTCCACCAGCACCTGCAAACACAACAGTACTTGACTGTTACTGCTAATACTGGGTAGTAACTCTGTCATATCAATGCACGTTACAAGGTCCACTGAACAACATTTAGGAGGATCTATTGT